CAGTTATCCTCTTGGCTTTGCTTGCGTGTTGCTTGATGAAGGAAATAAAGCGGTTATTGTTAAAACATGTGCTGTATGTCACATGTGTCGCAAGTAAGAGACTGTGCAAAGCAAATCAAAGCAGCAATAGGCTAACACTGTGAGATAGTTTTGGATAGAAGTACTGCGCAGGTAGCAGATCATCAGCATCTGAAAGTAATCTCCTTCCTGCTATTGTGTGGTGATCTGAGAGACTCCTATTTGATTAGTGCTGAATGACCTGCCATTTTTAGGGCTTCTGCGTACCCACATAGTATTGTCACAGGGGAGTGATTTAATCGGGAGAATTTAACCTTGAGTAGTTCCCGTGCTTTCATTCCATCACCTCTAACCCTTGCTCTATTGTCAGTGTCAGGAAGTGAAAGTGGGGCTGAAGGAGTTCACAGCTCCAGGATGTGAGTGACCCTCCCAACAATCAAACGCTGAGGGAAAGCATGCAAAGCCCATTCAAAGCCGCACGCATGTAACTTTAATCTTCACACGTTTGCACATCACTGAATATTTCCCAGCAGGTTCACTAAAGCAGGCAGCACCAAAGTACATTAAAATATACTCAGAAGTTTAAATGAGGATTGCAGCAGAGATTAAAATATCAAAAATGCGGAAGGCAGAGTAAAGACTAATGTGATTCCCAGGCTTGTCAGAGAGAATGAATGGAAACGGTGAGTGATACCTGAAGACTATTTGGCCTCAGGCAAGCCAGACGACACCCTGAGAGACATACCTGTCAAAACTTCAACAGCAAACATGCATTTAAACATGCATTTTTATCAGCCTTTTTCCATTTGTCTCCTTGTTATTTCTTCTCCTTACCTTGAGACATTTGGTGACCTTTGACCTGTGTCAGCTATTTTCTCATGCAGGTCTTGGCTAGCTTTAATCCTCTAGCAATTCGATGCCTAAAGGAATAGTCAGACATTGTGGGAAATATGCCCGTTTTCTTCAATGAGTGTAATCAGTAGTTTCACCTTCTTGTGATCCCTTTGTATTTCTATTCATGAAGGTAACTCTTGAGTGTAGACTTGGACAATGATACATCTACTTCCTCCAGCGTGATCCTGACTTGGTTAGATGGTGGTAAGGAGTTTTTCTTAACCAACGAAAGAATTCAGCAATAATCCACTTAAGCTGTCTTCCTGGTCTTTTAGTGTTGTTGGTGGGGACAACTAAGTAGTAGAGCTTGCACAAACCAAACACTAATAACAACTAATCACTGTGCAATCGACTGACAATAGTTGAAATACTGTGCCATTTGGCTGCTATATCTCATTAATGAGTATACTTAATTGCTTATTTGGTGTATTTATATATGTATTATATGCTATATTTATGCTTATATTAATATTCAAGGCATATGAACAAGGAACTTATCTGATCATGTGAATGTTTGTCAGTCAATTTTCTACTTCTGAAAAGCTCAACAATTAATGATCATGTGGAAGATGTATATTTATATATACTTGTACTTACTAACCTAATTTAAATATGTTACACTTCAACTATTGTATTTTTAGTCAGTTATTTATATGACATTTGTTGCTGTATAGTTAATTAATTTGCTCATTTGGATGTAATTAATTACTGGTACATTTTATTATACTATATTTATTATACTACCCAACGGTAAAGGTTAAATCAGGGACTTTCCTTGTGTTTACTGTTTTGCTAATTTAAGAGATTTACTATAATGGAAAAGCATATAGCATATATCCTTTCTTAGTAACCAAATTTAAAAGATATTTGATTGTAACCCTTACATTCATTTATAGTCATAGTGATAGTGAATTGCATGTTAATCTGTGTATCAGCTCTGTATCTTTGTTCTTATATTTAGATGCAGTAGGTTCTTGTGAGGGGAAACACCTTTCTACGGAAGCCAGCTAAATCACTGGTGTCTTGATGCATTGTTCGACACTTTGTCTTCTGAGCAGCTGTAGTCCTCAGATGGGAATTTAGGGAGATTCCATGACTTCACTGAGAGGAACGCAGGGAGGAGAAGCCTCAGGGGAGGGACAAGACAAGTAGAGTGCAGATGGAGTGTCCTTTAAATCTATAAGTCTAAGCTTTGCTTCAGAGCTTTGCCCCATTTTTCTCATAACTGTCACTGTCACGGTCTGGCTAGGGCAGACCGTATGTTGCAGGGAAGGACTCAAGCGCAGACCGAAATGAGGTATGAATAACAAAACAAGCCGTTTATTAAGGCAAGAAACGAGGGTACAAAATAATAGGGAATCGATGAAAACTAAACAAAGACCTAAACTGGGTGAACTAATAACAAAACATGAAAAACCTTTACCCTTAATGAACTGACATGGGTACCTGGAGATGAGACATGGATGGGCAGTACAATGGGTGAAATACAACCGACGACCTGACAACGAATGACTGAAGGCACACGGACTAAATAGACACAGGAGGATAATCAGGAAAGTGGCAACACATGGGGAACCAGCAGACACACATGAACATAACGACGTGACACTGGGAGAGTAAAACTGAACACGATGAACACAGACACACCAGACCTCTTCACAATAAGACAGGAAACACAGTGAGATATAAACATGACAACCTGAACTGACAACATAAGCCACAGACATGAAATACATGGAAAGCAGGGGAGACTTAACAAAGTGGAAACGCGAGGGGGAAAATAACTGGAAACAACTAGGCATGATAACGATAAACTTAGGAAACCTGAAGGCTACATAACTAAACACAAAACGCTGGGTCAACGGACCCAGGATCATGACAGTCACAGTTTTATAACACCATGTATTCCTCACAGAGAGACAGATGTTTTTTTCCTCAGTATTAACTAGTAGGTTCCATTTGAGGTATTTGAAGTTCAAATCCAGATGATTTTATTCAATAAATGTTTTTGCAGTTTATGGTCAAAATTTATTCAGCAATGCCACTTTCCTTTTAAAAAGAAATTGTCATCAGACCAAACAAATGAGTAACATCATGTTAAATGGGTGCTACTACAGAAGAGAAAGATAGTCTTGTAGTCCAGCAGGGGGCAGGATCACACTGATTATTAGGGCTGTAACAAATTATTTGTGTGGCCACCCAAAATATTCACTCAGTTCTCTTGAAACTAATTAAGATGCATGCATAGGCCGTCTTACTCCTTGTATTAATCGCACGTCTGGATAAATGAAGAGGTTGTGTCATGAGCAGCGTCTAGTATAAAATCTTTCCCAAATCAGACACGTGGATCCAGATAAGAGATGGAGCAAGAGGGAGAGAGATTTTAAGATTTCGCTGGAGGGACAGGATTAGAGGTTAGTATGTCAGAGGAACATCTGAGGTTCAGTCTGGAGACAAAGTAAGAGAGGCAAGGCTGAGATGGTCTGGATCTATGTAGAGGAGGGATAGTGGATAAATGGGGCAAAGAATGCTGAAGATGCAGCTGCCAGGCAGGGGAAAAAAGGACATCCACGAACCTTAGTCTATCCCAGAAGCAGGGTACACCCTGGACAGATCGCCAGTCTGTGGCAGGGCGAGGCTATCTCTTAAAGTACAGAATATTATATGAGTATGTAGACTGGTTGACCATTCACATAATATTTGTGATTTCCAGCTTATAGTTTTGCCAAAAGGAAACACAATGAGTACATTTAGTCAACCTGATAATGCCCCATGTTCAACAGAGAAGTTTTTTAAAATTATATATATATATTTGTTTTGGTTTTCTGCAATAATCAGTGCAGTTCAGTCCAATGATCAGAACTTATGTAACTCAAGCTGAACATTAAGTCATCCAGAAAAACAACAAATGTGAATAATGAGACACACGGAAGGAAAATGCACCAAAATCATACTGTATTTATTGCACATCACAGGCTGATGATGTATGCTGTAGCTGTGAGCCTTCATTTAAAAAAGAAAAAAGGTTTAAAAGAAGGAGAAAATTGGAACTCGAAGCCTGCAAATGCATTTTATATACAACAATCTGGTCAGGATCGTGATGCTATCCCTGCACCTGGTATACATGCAGCTGCTTTCGGTTAACTGCTTCTGACAGGCAAACAAAATACCTTTCAGTCATTTATATAAAACCAATGAATTACTATAAAAATACAGGAAGATGAGTGTAAAAATAAACAGTCATCAGACTAAAAGGAAATGTGCATTTTGTTAGCGATTGTCAAGAGCCAGAACATGTTAGACATTGAGTTCTTATGGTGCAAGCTGAACTCAAGAAAGGCAGTGAATACCTACTGAATACCTTGCTACTTAGATGCAGCTTTGCTTTGAACTTAATACTATGCAAGCAGGCTAATATGCACGATCAGATCAGATTCATTCTTCAGATGAACACAGTGAAATGCTCAGATTTCAAATTTGGCATAAAATACAACTGAGGCTAGAACTTTGTTAGCTTTGCAGGTATCTGACCCCAAACATGTAGGATTCTACAAATTTATTTGGTTATGGTGATGATACAAAATCTAAATATAGCATTGTTATTATAAAGTATTGTGAGGGGAACATGACCGTCTATACAAAATACCGTAAATATTAATATTTAAGGAGACAGTTCATTCAAAACCCAAAAAGTAAACCCCATAAAATTGCCAGACTATTTTTTATCCTTTGGGGTGCATGACAGTTTAAAAAATTCATGGCAGTCACTTTGATAGTCATTGAGCAACTTCAATATGAATAAAAGCGGCAGATCTACTGTATACCAGCCAACAGGGTAAAATACTGAGCACTGCTGAAACTGCTGACCTGACCTCAGCTGTTTTTAGTGAGGGGAAAAAACACCACAATTCAAATGATTGTTTTCGACTTTCCTAACTTGTGATGCTTTTGTTTTAATAGTGGAGTATAAATTAAAAATGTCTTGTGACATTTATTACTCATGTGTTTTTTGTGTCGCTACAAAACAGCACATACACGATCCTTCGTATTGGAAACAGGCGATGAATGAATCCATTTAAGCAATGCTATTGGCTGTCAAAGCACTTTAATGACTTTATAAAGTATCTTTATTAGTTGGTCACAGTGTTAGCTATGCTGATGTTGCCTGCAGATTAGACTGGTTCTAAGTATCACAAAACCTTCACATGTATTGAGCGTGTGCAGGTACACAAGGGCCCTGAGCTTAGATGTCAGATTTTTAAACAAAGAGTACATTTACTAGGCCTTCAGCCAAGTCTGTGATTCACAAAGACAAGGGCTTCCAACCATTACTCACTTGCAAAAACACACATACACACTTCTACAGGTTGTTCTGCAGCCAGCTGAGGTAACCCCTGAGTGCCTTCTTCCCAACGTCAAATTCAAGTGGCCAGGATGTTAAACTGAAACATCCATGGAAGCCATCCTCATAGTGGTCGCTGGTAACAGCGACCCCTGCATCCTGTAAGCGGCGGGCATACATCAGCCCATCATCCCTCAACACGTCATGCTCACATGTTAGAATATATGCACGAGGGCATTTTGCCAACACTTCTGGCCCAGCCAGCAGTGGTACCGCTCGCACATCAAGCAGGCCTGGCACCTTCTTCAGAAACCCCTCAGATCCCTTTTCCACAATAACAGGCTTGTAGTTCTTCTTGTACTTCTGAGTAAGTAGCACATTCCAGTCAAGTCTTGACCTCAGCTCTGGGGTGAGTGAAGAGTGTTGCAAAGCGCTGTGGTTGTTCACTAAAAACTCGGGCATAAGAGAGAGGTCAATGTTCAGATACTGCAGCCAGAACTGGATCATGCTGGTCCGGTAAAGGACGGGGATATATTGGTTCTGCAAATAGGAGGGTGTATTGAAATCCAAAGCCTGGAGCACTGGATAGATCAAAGCTTGGACACTGAATTTCACACTCATGCTGTCATCTACAGAAATCTGAAAAAACAAACACACAATATGAGTAATGGCTGTGTACATTGCAATGCAGACTGTGTGGTGATGTCAAATGGTTGGTTCTCTCCTTTTCCTTACAGCAAGATGAACGTGTGTTTTTCTTCTTTCTTTCAACTCTAAATTACAACCAACAACAATGTGGTGTTGGACTTTTTTTTGTCATGTTGCATATTAGAGCCAGGTAGTTCAATTCAATTCATTTTGTTTATTTATTCGCCTCAAGGCACTTTATATTGTAAGGTAGACCCTACAATAATACATACAGGAAAAAAAACAACAATCATATGACCCCCTATGACCAAGCACTTTGGCGACAGTGGGAAGGAAAAACTCCCTTTTAACAGAAAGGAACCTCCAGCTGAACCAGACTCAGAGAGGGGCGGCCATCTGCTGCGACCGGTTGCAGTGAGGGGAGAAAGACAAGACATGGTGTGGAAATAACAGCTTTGTAAAGATAGCTTTGCAATGCAACTAATTTACAGTGCTGTGAAATAGCATGTGCACACATCCTGTTTTCAACTAGTTCTGTGTGAAAAACCAATGCTCCTCCCTTGTTAAATAATTAATTAAATATCATGGATAACTTTTTATAGAAAGCTGAGTTCAATTTCACCAGCCACACTCAGCTGCCAGACCTGTTGAATCAGACGAAATTACTTTAACAGAACCTGTCTGAGGTGAAGGGTTTTGAAGCCATTTCTAATTCTTTGGTGTTCCAGCAAACCATTGTGAGATCCATTATTATATTAATTGTGAGCCTTAAAAGGAGTGGAGAGCTTACCAAAATTACTCGAATAGTGTATCGACAACTCATTCAGGAGGTCACAAAATAACCAGAACAACATCCAATGCCCTGCGAACCTCACTTGTCTAAGTTAAGGTCAGAGTTCACGATTCAACAATAACACTGAGCAAAAGGGCTGCTTTGCTGCTTCAGGACCTGGATGACTGCCATAACTGATGGAACCATGAATTCTGTTCTCTGCCAGGATCAGTTTGTGCACTGAAGCTCAAGTTCACTTAGATTTACAGCATGACAATGATCTTGAACACAACAGCAAGTTCACCTCTGAATGGCTCAAAAATTAGGGTTTTGCATCGGCCTGGTCGACTTAAATCCAATTGAGATGCTTTGGCATGAACTTTATTAACCAAGCTGTTCATGTTTGAAAACCATTCAAAAACAATGCTGCAAAGAAGAGTGAGACAAAATTCCTCCACAGCAACTTTTTCCCTTAATAAATTAAAATCATGATTCATAAACTGCATTTTGTATTACCTTGGGTTATTTTTGTCTAGTATTAAAAACTGTCTGATCACTTAAAACATCTAAGAATGACAAATATGGAAAAACAAAGAAATCAGGATATATGTCATGATCCAGAGCATTATACTAGCAGTCGTGGAAGGCATTTTATGAATTAAAACATTTGGCATTTGAGCTTGATATACGAATTGTCGCATGCATGCAGAAAATAGCCTCTGCCTTTACCTCCTGAGCAACTGCAGCAGCAAGGTTTCCTCCAGCGCTGTCACCTGCCACAGCCACACGATCTGGGTCAATAGAATACTTGGCAAGAACCTCTGGAGACAAGAAGTGTTTGGCAGCAGCAAGACAGTCTAAATATGGCACTGGAAAGTGCACATCTGGATACAGACGATACCTACACACACAGAGGGTTCAGATGTAATTTACTAGAGGTTTAGAAAGCTTTGGAGTATATAATTAAAGGGACACTCCACTGATGTTGTGAATGGAGACTACAGTTTTGCAAGGGGAAACACACTTACTCAACAGAGACCACAACAGTATTCAGCTCATCTGACACCATTCGGTTGGTAATATCATATGGCCCCTTCTCTGAGGAATTGAAAGAGTGAGAGACGGTTAGATATATGCCATTTGTGTTATTGACACTTAATAAACTTTGCACCTAAAAAGCAAAGATAGCTGTAATTATCACAAGTAATGTCTCAAAGTCTATGATTCTTTTTAAAGTAGGCATATTATTTTTATTTCTAACTAGAGAAAGCAGTTAGAGACTCACTGGTGGTGCCGAGGGCCCAGCCACCTCCGTGGAAATACATCAACCCTCTCCTCAGATGACCCTCCCCTCCAGCTGGGGGCTCGTAAACTCGCACTGGGATGCCAGCGAAAGAGATGTCACTGACCTTCACACCTGGAACGGCCCCTGCACTGGACTCAGTACTCAGAAATTCCTTTAATATCCCTTCAAAGCCAAATGTGAACTGCCTGAAAGATCTAGTGTGATGGTCAAATCCCAGCCATTGCTTCAAAGAGGCCTGAAGACAAGAGTAAACCAAACTCCAGCTCAAACCCCTTGATTGGTACTTGTTTGTTTCAGGACACACATTAAGAATTTAATACATAGATTGAAAGGAAATTAGTGGAAACAACAGAAAGTCATAGGGAATTTGGCAAAAGGCAAAATGTAGTCATCTCTTGGCAGGATTTTGAGACACAATTTCTCACAGTCACCTTTCTCCTCCTACACTGTGCATTACTGATATGTCTGCCCTTTCCCTCACTTAGAGTGTCACAACAGCAGTGCTGAAGAAACTGTTGCACTGTCACATGTGCAGATATCACATTTTCACTCTAATGAAGAATAAAGTCAGTTTCTGTTATGCATCAGCACACTGTTCACTAGTGGGTTTTAAAACTATTTAACAATATCAGTCACACTTGAGCACGTTCTTGTGCATAACGTCTGCTGTAGAAACAATGAAGCAATGCAAAATTAGTATTAGTGATGTTTTCTTAAACAGTGTCCTCAAACTAGATGCTAATGACTGTTTTAAATCTTAAAATAACACAAAAAAACACACAATAAATCCAGATTTTTAGTAAAACTCTCGCTCTGAGGATTAGTCTAGGCCAGCGTGCTAATAATTAACGGATAGTTTCTAGCCATCTATTGTCTGCCACTTTCAAAATGTAGAACACAGGTCAAGGTGTAAAGTTCATGATCCTCTCACAGCCCCAAAATAAAAGTCTCAATAACCTTTGAACTCACACAGTGGGATTACTAAATGAGCTCTTTCACAGACTTGGTGCATTTCAACCCTGCTGTGAAATCAGATTTCATGACACAAGCATGAAAAGACCTCTGGATATCTGGTCATCCAGTAAAACTAAAAATTGGACTATAGATACCTTGAATCCATGACATCCGTATTTATTTCAGCAGCATATCATTTTGCACCGTTACACTGAATATCAACACCAAACATCATATTCTAGCAAAGAAAGATGGTACCTCCCCCCCTAAATAAACACAAGGTTCAAAGTCCAAGTCTGTGTTTGAGTGTGTTTTGTTCAGAGCATGTTTTTAATAATGCAAGCTTTTCAAAGACACAGTGCATGCAGCCAACCTGTAATAACACATTTAATTAAAACTTTGCACATAGAAAAGTCAAGATTCTGTCTAATGCGATCCTTCTCATTCGTCTCTTTTTGATGCCTTACGTGCACCAGCTTTTCTTCCTAGTGAAAATATCTACTCTCTTACCACATGAAATGCTGTCCTTAAATAGGCATCCAGTATCATCAACTTCCACGGCTGCTGAATGGCATCAGGGAGCGGGATGTAAATATAATAAGCAAGTGCCAGCGTTAATGACACAGTAAGCAGGAGTGACAGCAGCCTCATCTCGCAGCTGTGGGATGATGTTTCTTCAGTTACTGACTGGGTGGAAGACTGAGACAGACCCCGCCGCTTCAAGCTGTCTGATTCTTAATTTGTCACTGGCGCTTGGCACCAGAATACATGGGCAATTAAGCACTTCCGCTGGAAATCTTCAAAATAAACCTACATTTTCAAAGTGACGTTTCTTTTAAAAATAAAACGTTTTGAATAAATCTATTTTAGTCACATAACTTTGAAATTGGAAAACATGAAATAGCCGTGGTTCATCTGGTCATATGCAGGCAGGTCGTATGAAAAATAAAACAAATAAACTAAAAAAACAACAACAACAAAACAAAACAAATACATTGAGGTAAAAATACCCTAGTAAAAATAAGGTATCACAGTATTTTTATTGCGCGATTTGCATGACTGGATTAGGGCTTTTATTTTGAAAGCTGTATGAAAACAGCAGCGAATGGGTATCTGGGAAGTGGGAGGGTTTGTTTTGAACAGCTGTATGCGTGTGTAAGTTGTATTACATGTTTGTAACCACCGAGAGGCACAATGGAGCTGCAGTCCATTAGACATTAGATTAGTGTGGGCAGATTTTGGAATCACATTTTAAAGGATGACAAACAGAATGGTATTATATGAATTGCTTCTGTATTTTAGGTCTAATCAAACCAACTAGACGGAAACCGAAAAGAGAAAATAGCAAAAAGAACTAAATGCTTTTCTTCTGAAACTCAGTGTTAATCCTTGAGATGTAATTTTTTTTTAAAATTCCTTTTGGATTTGGAAAGGGAGGATTTGCAGTTTGGGGTGGAGTCATGTTCCTGTTCAAACTAGGAGCTCCTTTCTCGCTGATTATTGATGCCTTTTTATCTGCAGACATCAGTGTTAGACCATAGTCTCACTGGAAGGTATTAGTGGTGCAATTATGGGCAAGAGCTCTGCTTTTACCAATGAGTTATTATTTCTTGACTGTGTGGCTTTTAAATTAACCAAGAATGATATTATACAGGAAACATGGATTCAGAAAGAGAAACAATGTGAAGCCAGCATGATCCCCAGTTATAATTTAAAATTCAATGTTTAAGTTGGTATGAATCTTAGAATACCTAGGGTGCAGCTAAATCTGCATCAGATTGCCAGAAAGGCCCAGTACAGTCAACGGTGCCGCAGACTTCATTGCAGATTGGGGAAAGCGTCTTCTCCTGTCTCACTTTCTCTTTCTGTGCTATATAACTCTGTCTCTTCCCATGGTTTAATTTTAAATGGCCACTGTCTGTCCCTGGTGGCCCGGTGTGAGAATGTAAACAAACATCATGATGATGAGGATCTGACCTCTGCGCTGAGCTGATTTTCCAAAACATAGTAGCAAGACCACCTGACTGTGTCAGCTTAGTCTCTTGGAGGACCAGCGTGGGGTTGGCAAGGTGGCTGCAGGAGGTGATACAGGAAAGCTGATTACTAAACAGGGACACAGCAGATCAGCCTGCTTGTTCCTCCAAAGCTCATTAATTAACACGCTGTCGGAGCAAAGTGAGAAAACGACAGGTTGTGGTTTTATTGCCTCACTATATTTTCATTCTACAGTGCTAATTATGACCTCTTTCTCTCATTGTACACATGTTTTTGTTCCAAATGATAATTTGAGCAACTGGTGCATAATGAAATCACTACCTTATGCAAACCGCTTCATCTGTGCTTTACAAGCCTGCCTAACGGAAGGTATAGCCAGAGCACAAAATGTGATGCTTTTAATGCAGATTTTGTTGAACCATCACGCCAAAGATATGGATGAGCAGCAGAAAGCAGATTATACAGCAAAATCAGTTGCATATATTTTTTTTTGCACATCATGGTAATTTGATACCTTTGCACCTAGTTATGTGTAAATGCTTCTACTGTTACTTGTGATGCACTTTTTTTGCAGTCATCTTGACATCCTAAATCCTGCGGTGTCAGTGTTTCACACTCAAAAGAACACTTAAGCCAGACACAGATGCCACGCTTGCTTACTTTTCAAAAATCCCTCTGAATGAGAGTGTCAGCAGAAAGCTTAAATTGTATGTGTGACATATGCACTTGTGTGTGTGTGTGTGTGTGTGTGTGTGTGTGTGTGTGTGTGTGTGTGTGTGTGTGTGTGTGTG